TTTATAAGAGACCGCAAAACTCCAAGGTGATTTTTATTAGTAGTGCAATTTTTTTTTTCAAGTATTTAGAAACTGTTACATTTAAACATTATTTAATTAGCTGTATCAATTTTCCAATCTTTAGGGATGAATTCAATTTCTATTCTAATCGATTAATGCGAATATTAATCGAAAGTGCCATGAATTTTATGCCATTTGAGGATGCCACGGTCACTACGCCAACTATGGAAAAGTATTCCTAACTCAATTTCTTGTGTTCAATTCTCCAGAAATCTGTATGAATGATAGAATCACATATTTTTATATGTAGATTTGTTGGCAAAAGGAATAAAGCGCAGATATGCGGTGTTACAATTATGCGCGCTGGTGAAACAATGGAACATGCATTGAGAGCTGTTGTGAAGGATTGCAAAATGGGCAAAATTTTGATACAAACCAATGAGAAAACGATGGAACCGGAGTTATTCTATCTGCGTCTGCCGAAGAATATTCACCGATATAAAGTTCTATTGATGGATGCTACCGTTGCTACAGGTTTTTTCCGATTCCCTGCTACAGTTTAGGAAGTAGTATCGAAAATTCTTGTTAAAATGTCAAAATTGTATAGACACAAGATCTAGTGAGTGATGAGATTATTCGAAGCATCTGACGCACAGTTGTTCCCATCTACTCACTTTTTTGAAGTCTGAACTTAACCTCATAGGATTGATAATAACTTTCCTAACAAAGCTTCATAAAAATATATTACCGTGCTAGAATATTACTTATTGTCACTGTCCTACTATCTGAGATGTTCAGATTGGGTTTTGTAATATTATTAGCACTACAATATATATCTGTTGTTGCAGGCGCAGCGGCAATGATGGCTATTCGTGTACTACTGGATCATGATGTATTGGAAGAAAATATTCTCTTATTATCATTGCTTATGGCAGGAACTGGTGTACATTCACTTGCTTATGCTTTTCCTAAAGTATGTCTCAACATCTAATCTTATCGACCAGAAATTTTTTTTTTTGCAACAGTAATTATAGTATTTATTGATTTTCAGGTTGCTTTATTAACAACTGCTGTAGATCCGCATATCAATGAACTATACTATGTCATCCCGGGAATGGGTAATTTTGGCGATCGCTATTATGGTACTGAGGCGGTAACCGCATGCGATGATTCTTCAAGTGATGAAGAAAATCCATAGGATCAAGCATTTCATAAAGCAAGAAGACGCTGATATCACTTTTGACAGTTAAAATATTTCTTTTTTTTAATTTATTTCACTGACATAGTTTTCGTATATATTTTTTTATACATATATACTATTCGTATTTATTAGACTCCTATTTATTGGTTGTTTCATCTTTTTTACATAAAGTTTTCATTGTATTAAATGTGAATTGCAAATGCTTCAAATGCGGAATAAAGCTCAGCATCTCAAACTATGCAATTCTTAATTAGTTGATTGATAATGTTAGTGACAGGGAAATATGGGATTGTTTTCACGAATGTTTCGTTTATACCAATTTTAAATCAAAGATTTTTATACATTATAAATTTTAAAAAACATTATAAAAAATGCTTCTCGGATATGTGCACTTATCTATGCTTCCCAGAAATATATGTTTTTCAGTATGGTTTTATGTTGTTGTCACTTATTCTATCTTGCTGTTAAATTTTAAAATTCCAGAAAAAAAATTTTTCCTCTTTTTTAAAAGTTATTTTTGTTTCTGATATAATATCGTAATGATTTTAATATTACTTATATACTTCTGCAAATGTCCCCGTCATTTCTATTCCATGATGAACTTATATTAACTATTATTAGTTTGTGATTATTTATTGCACATACTATGCTCAGAAAGAGTGGATAATATTTTGAAATCTTCTGAAATTTAACATGTAGTTCGATGATTTATTGAATTGATTTATCATCACAATGAATTTAAGATTTAAAATTTTACTGCCTGGAAGATATAAGTTTTTATTGGTTTTTTAATTCACTGGTCTGCTTTCGTGACAAAGATTTATCAAGAGTCCAATTGACTTTTCCAAACATGTCAAGTGAAGAATGATTTAATTCTCATTGTTATTGAATTTTTGTATTGTTATTTATTTAATGCTTCTTTGGTTATTAAAAATGTGCTTCCTTCAAATTCATTTATAACGGGGACACAAAAGATGCTGAGAAAAACATGCCTCATAGAGAAAGTAGTTGGAAGTGGATTTTATAAATGAAGTAAAGTTTTAATTTTAAGGAATAGTTCCAAAGATTAAATGAAAAGCATGAATAAAGTAAGTTTGATATTACGAGGGCTTTTAAGTTCATGAACTTTTGATTTTTGCCTGACATATTTCAAATTCTCTGCTCATTCGATATTGTATTTGGTTTACGGATTTCTATCTTTTGGTGTATTGGGACCGGATTTTGCATGCATTTTGAAAATCTTAGCATCAATAAACTGCAAATGTATTCATGGGGTAAAGCAGAAGTGGAACATTAAGGAGGGGGAAGGAAGAGAGTGGAAACCCAGATTCCGTGATGAAAAGGACGGATCCATAAACCCATTCATGCCTTCGAAGTCGTTCTCACACTGCTTAATTATTTTCCTAGAAATTTTCCCATCGGCAGAAAAAGTATATGCAGCTATTATTCAAAGATTTATATTTATTAGGAATTTTAGAGATTCCTAAAACTTTGAAAATGCAAAACATAGTTCAGAAATTTATTTTGAATTGTTAGAGTGAGCAAGATTTCTCTTTCTCTTTTCCTCTCTCTCTCCCCCTTTCTGTTAGCAAATAATTATTGAAATTTTTTTTTCATGCACAATTTTACTGATAATAAGTCCGTGAGACAAAAGAACAAATGTTGATTATATTAATAACTTCAGTGTATTCTGAATTTTTGAGAGAATAAAATGAGATGGAAAAAAGCAAGTAATGTAAGAAGGCTGAAAAACCTTGAGAAGCTATGTAAACAAATATTAATGATTCAGTTTAAAAAGTTCTTGATATTAAATTTGTTTCAAATAGTCTTTCACCATTATTTAATTTATATGTTTTATAAAAAAAATTAACAACTTCAAACAATACCGAATTGATCACTAATAAGTTGAACGTAAAAATTACAATATTGTCTGTTGTCACACTTCGATTAAATAATGGAAAATGTTGAGATATTCAGCATAATAACATCCTGAAATTCTGAGAAAAGATGAGAAAAAGGAAGAGGGGAGGCATAAACAGATATAAATGAGTTTCGTTGCGAACATGGACGAAATTGAATTTCATATTTAGTTGAATAGCAGCAAAATGGGCAATACTGTCGAATTCCGATGGGGATTTTCTTCCTGATTTCAAGCTTTTTCATTTCAAAGCGTAAAATGTCACTATTGAAGCTTTATAATGTCATTTTATCCTTTTCCTAGCTGATATTAGAAACGGATGTAATAGCTTAATTTTTCGTATTCTCAGATCTGATTAACTTATTGGTTGTATATTTGTTCGTTGATCGTTATCACGAAAGGTTCGACAACCAAAACGGTTAGTTTTAATAAAATAAATTCTCTCTCTTTCTCTCTATCTCGGTAGCTCTGTAGCTCTATTCCTTTTTCGCTAGACATTTCTCTCTTGCTCGCTATTAATTAATTCTTTCAATTCAACAAAACAATTCTTGTTCAATGTTTTTTGAAGTAACCATTCAATGCTATCGTAGCTCATCACGACAATCAAGCAATAGCTATATCAATTCTCAATTTTTGCTTATACAACTTGTTTAAATTTTTTTTTTTCAAAATCTTCACTTCCTCCTTAAAAAAAGTTACAACATATTTTATCTTTACTTACTCTTTTAAGCATTGAACAAGAAGATACCGAATTTCCTTATACTTTGAAGTCTTTTGGAAGCTAAATCAGAAAAATAATAGGAGTGTCTTGAAATGTGCTTAATTTATTGAAAAATAGCTAATACCAGCAAACAGTTATATATCGTTGGAGGATGTTGGATAATTGAACTTTGAGCGAAAAGTTTCAGCATACTGAACAGTTAAATATTCCCTAAAAATTCAAAAAGAAAACCCGATTAATTTTACTTCCTTCTCATTCACGAATAAATTGCCGTATTCGCTAATTTTTCCGTTTATGCCTTTTCCTTCTTGCATTTATCCGAGCGTGTCGGATGCATTAAGTTCTATGTCCGTTATTCGAGACAAGAATTTGTCTTTTTTTGTTCTTCTATCTTTCTTCGTCTCATTTCTTTGTACATTTCATTTGTCCTCTCGTTTGCTTAAAATCATTTCTATTGACTGGAAGTACTTGTACTCAAATTACTTTCAATTTCTAGACAAAAAAACTTCCTTTTTGTGGAATTTTAAAAATGTTCACCATTTCCTCAATTACAAAACTTAAATTTCACTGTTTTGTTATTGACTTTCAAAATAAAGCAGTCCAATTGATTATATCATGAACAACAATATCTGTACCCTGTATTTTTCAGGATTCTCTTTGTCTAAAAATTTGGAAGATTATATTATAAATAATGTAATACAAATAGAATATCTTATGATGTTTTTATAAATTTAGAAATAATATGAGTGAAATTGATCATCTGAGCTGTCAAACTGCTCCTTCTATTCATCAGTTATTCGGTTTTCCTCTTCTTCTAGAACTATTTTTAAAAAAGGTGTAAACTTTAAAGTAATTATTTCCAATTTCTTTATAATAAAAAAAAGTTTCTAAGATTTGAAGTTGCAGAATGTTTAGATGGTCATTATTGTGACCATATTATGCACCATTATTGAGGTGTTGTGGGCTCATAAATTGATTGGAGCGAATGATTTGCAAACGACAATATTTCACTTTGATATCATTAAAGATCGGGTACCATATTTATCTACAATTATTCCTGTTTTTTTTTTCTCTTTCTTCCTCTCTTTTTCTCCTCTATACAATCATTTGTGAAGCCCATTTTCCAATTCTATTTTCAAAGAGTCCAGATAAGGCAATCGATGTTTATTATTTACCGCCTTGTGTTACAAGAGGTAATGAATTCATCATTTGCATAAAAATAGAAAAAAGTGACGAACAATAGGGATTTTCGTTTAATTAAATAAAATTTACAGAAATTACAATAATATTTTGGAATTGTCATTTTTGTGCCCAATCTCATTCATTCATATCTTCATAAAAATTTTCCATCAAGATTAGTTTATGCAGCTTTGTAAATATAACGATGTACAATAACAATTCTTTTAGCCTCGGCTCACAATGTCACAGTTTTATATTAAGCATCAATCTTACTCTCCTTAATTCAAGGAAGCATGCTTTTTGCTTTTCTAAAATTCTGGACAGTTAATTTACTCACAAATTCCATTGCTATTCTGTGATTATTTAAAATCAGAATACCCGGTTTTAATCAGACAGTTTTATGACTGATAACAAAAATCATTTACCATGGGAAGATCTTCCAGATGTACATATCACCAGTGAACTATTAGCCGATCCTGCATTTGAAAGATCTCAAAATATTGAAGGATAAAAGGATAGGCCCTCAATTGGATAGTCCATTGTGCAATTATGACACCAGTTCATGTCTACCTGGCGCAATCTTATCTTTTACCGATTATATTACCAAAATTATGCATAGTTTATCCAGTGGCGGCTTGATTGTTTGTGCTATTATGAAACAAGGCACATGCCAAATCAGGTCAACAGACGATTTAAGCATACTCAGCAATTCTTCGGTAATAGTCGCGCCTAACGATATCAGTGCTACCTGTATATCATTAATTGACAGCAATGGTAATTTACATTTCGCTGCTACTGTCACCAATGAATCATCGTATGGGTAGGCTTGAAATTCCTCGTTTTCTCAATTTTAACTTATAATACATAGAGGGAAACAAAATTTTTCTGCGTAGCACAGAGAGCTTAAATTAGAAACCTTTTTGTTAAACTGATTTCAGATTTCGAAACTCTAAATTCCACTAAGTTGTGCTTTTTTTAATTCAAAAATGCATTCTTCAACTGATTGCAGCGAATTAACACCACCTGTTGCGAAAGTGTTGTAGATATTGATTTGTCAAGATTTATTTTATATTTGAGAATCTGATTAGACAATTTTAGTATCAATAGATGAAATGAGCAACAGATAACTTGATGATGGTTTCGAGTAGGGATGGATAAGCGCATGGATGATTGAAATAAATGAAAGAGAAGCCCTGGTCCGTCTATTTGACTGTTTACATACCCAATATTGGACGGTATGAGGATAGTAAATAATGGGCTTTAGGTGACCCCAGAGTTAAACAATGTCGTGTTGGGGAAGGAAGAAGCGATGAGAACAAAGGGGACCGTTTGATTGCTTGTTAACTACATTTGTTTCACATAAAATACATAGGAAGTCAAAAGACAAATAACTCTCAATGACATTATAGAAAGACAAAGAAGTTGTATGACAAGAAATTAAATTTAACAAAGACAAAAATTGTGAGGCACAACTTCCTCAGCCTAACTGTCTGTGACACAAATCTCAATTCATACGAATAATTTTATATCACAAAATTTCGGATTTCCCGACATCACCAGCCTCGAACTTATTTAAAAAAACACAAAAACTTAATGCTAGCTAGTGAGTCAGAAATTCCACCTCAGAGAATATAAGAAGTTCATATTTGAATTCATATTTTAGTAATTTGCAACTTAAATGAAATGAAACCGTTATTTTATAATAATATCGAGTGACAAAGTGCTACTCATCTACCTGTTTATTTATTCGTCTTTCGTTCCTACTTGTTTCCTAATTTATTTTCTAGAGAATCACTTCCACTAGTGTCGACCCTCGAGCCACCTAATTACGATATTATTGGTACCGGGTCACTGGAAGGTGAAGCAGCAGTTCACATCCGAACTGAGTACCGCTTTCGTTTTCGCATTCACTTCGTTGCGGCGTTTTTTCACAAGCATTATGTTTACTATCTAAATGTTCAAAATAAACATTTATCAAATGGACGGCCACCATTTACTGTTTCGAAATTAATACGAATTTGTCGTGATGATCACAGGTTAAATCTCAAAATTCTCGAAAACATTAAAAATCCTTTTTTTGAATATTTCACTTTCACATCATTGCAGAATCTTTGTAATAAGAGAATACATTGCGCATTGAAAAATGAATACGAATGGGTCAAAAGTAATGGCATTTGTTTGCTGGAAAAACTTTCTACTGATCAATGCACCGAAACACGTGAAATAATTGAATGTTTAAAATATTTACTTTGTTATAATGAGACTGATATGAATGATATTTATGCTGCTGTACAGCTTGAATAAACATTTATTGTTGAAGATAGTTAGTTACGGTTTTTTTAAATACAGATGCATAATGGCAACAAAATTATGGTTTACAGAGAAAGGCAGTGATGAATTTTTTAGAGGAAAGAAGTAGCTCTAAAGATCTGAACAGACTGTTCAGAGTTGTTCTTGTCCTCAGAAGAGTGACCGATAATAGCGTCCGTGTATTCCCATCTGCTTAATGAAAAGAAGTGATGGTTGGCAGTTAAGGGAAACAATGTTAACCTTAATTGCTGTTTGATTTTTTTATTTTTAAATATCAAAATGACCAGAAGATTATGCTATTTGATCATTGTTCAGTTTTGCTGAATAAATCGACTAAATCATCCCATTCTGGTCAAGTGATTGTAATATATCTCTAACTCCTTAACAAAATAGAATGAAATAATTTAAAAATTGACATTACTTTATGTAAGGCTGTTCAGATAATGCGGCGTGCAATCTGATCTATGCCGAAAGACATTCTGTACCAAAATGATAAGTCAATAAACATAGACAGCAGCTATTCTTA